AAATGGAGGGGAGAATGACGAAGAATAAGAAAGAGAGAGAGAAAGAGGAAGAATGGCGAGCGAGCAAGTGTACCACTAACCGTGGTAGCTAGGTTCTCGTTCCTCCGTAAAGTTCTATCGATTCCTTATCATTCTCAATGCAAACTTTATGCCCCTTGTTCCCGGGGTATCGCGCGGAATAAACTCGGCTGTCAGTGCTCGCGATGCTGGATTATTCCGTGCACCGTCGACGACTTCGTAAAATCTTCGCACAGTCACGATCGGTTTCCCTCCGGAATCTGGCAATCGTTTCTCACGTTTTTACGATTGCGTTTGTAAAAATAAAACGACGCGTTGTGTATTATTTAGTCCGGCTATTTTCCACCTCCGAGTGGACTTGTCGCGAGTAAAAACCACGTTTCCGCGGTGATACCGTGGCTGGGATGGGAGCATTCGTCGCACAGGAAACGCGAAACCGCTGCTGAATAAAGAAGCGGGAAACACGAAGGGCGCGCACAGTGGACGATGCTTAAACGGGAACCACGTCACAAAGTGGACGTGCATTTTTAAAGCTGCACCGGTGACGACGCCTTGGCCAACAGACGAACCGGTGCCCAGTTGCGATCGTTCAAAGGGAATTCCTTCCTCGGCCATTGCGCTCCGGGGCTGGCAACGTAAGAGAGAATGACGAACACCGGGCCCGAATCACAGAGAATTCGCGTAATTGTTTGCACCGATCGTTTCTGAACGGCGGTCTGCTGTATCGGAGGATTTGCTTACCGCCGCGGGAAGTGTATGATTAGAGAACTGTTTGGAAATGTTCACTGGGTTAGTACTTTCAATTAGCCCACTGGTCGATTCGGATGTTCAGCTCGGTTGTTTCGAGTGTCTCTTGCAGATTTTATATTTTACGATACTGTTTCGAAGGAGTGAAAATTAGAGAGGAAAAATTGTGTATGTTTTTGGGGTGAATTTAAGCTGGCTTCATTATAAGCCTTATTAGAAATGGGTTATTGAAATGAAATAGTCTTTGTAAACTGTTAATATTCTATTCATTTTCTTTACTCTTTCAAATGCTTTAACGAACTGTTCCTGGACACCCAAAAAGGGAAAGTTTGGGTCCGCTAGGAACTGTTTACTCTATTGTAACACCAGACACATCTGGTGGAAGCCTTAGTGTCTTTGCCTAAAAGAACGCGGAGACATTTTTGTCCTCACTTGACTATTTCTACAGGGTGTTGTTAGAAATAATCCAACAAGCTTTTTATCCGATTTACATCCAACTTAGACGCTATTATAAATTCTTCAGTGTTTAGAAAGTAGACAGTTTGAAGTTTTTCAATGTAGTTGTAATCGGCTAATTAAAATTAACATGTTAAATATTTAGAGTAACCCTGCATCTAGAGTTTGTGTTCCAAATTTCATGCTTTAGATTTGCCGAGTTACAGCCACGGTTATCGATAGAGTTGTAAAGATTCGTTTATGTATGCCACTGACAGACGTGTTTGGGTGGCTGGATTTAGGGTAGAACGTCGGATGTCGAGGGTCGAGTATGTTTCCTGATGTTTCCCTTTAGGTAAGGGAAGATAGGTGAATCGTAAAGTCCGTCAACTTGGGGCAGAAGTTTGGGACGTGCCTTTTGGTAAGGTTTTCAAGATTTAGGGCCGAGATTTGGTGAATAGTTGAGCTGTCATAAACGTGGCTAGGTAAAATCTGGGTTTAAAAGATTAAGCGTACGTAGAATGGGGTTGATTTTGAAAGGCAACGGATTATTAAATTCGCAACACCAAAATTAACCGCCTTCGCGTGTTCCGATAAAATTTGAAATCCGGAGAAACTTCATTGAAAAGTGTACAGATGCGTATATAATTATCGTTAATGCATTCATACCAGATTCGTAACAATTTGCACTGTTCAAATAGATCCAGCGGAGTATTTACTTGTACGATTATTATTCAATTCCGCGAAATATTGTACGTTCGTTGAATCGAATCGGTATCGTGAATTCACATTGAATTTCGTCAGTACACCGGTACACGAAACTATACAGGAAATGAAGAATTTACAAGCAGTTATATCCAGGCGCCTATTGTTCCAAGGAAACATTGTTACACCACTGACGTATACGTTTCTCTTAACAATGTTATCACAGTATGTTTTGTACGGTAACCCGTTCAAAGTTCCTCTTTTCTCGTAACGTTTTGTCTTCTCGAACCTTTTTAACGTTCCTGAACCACTGAAACAATAATGCCGCATTTTCATACATCTTTTTCAAACTTGTATCACCGTTTCTCTAGGAGTTGGATTAAACTTCTATTGTTGTCGCATTGAAAAACACGCCATAGAAAATGCAATGTTGGCAGATTTATTTTTGCACGATGTTTACACGGAAAAATCGCTAGGAAAATGTAAATCAACGAGCACTGCTTAAGCTCAGCTCGCGCGTCGCGTTATTCACTTTTGAAATATCACGTTTTGAAAATGTATAATCCTTCAACAACGACAGAATTGTTTGGAAATAAAAAACACGAGATACAGAATATGCCCGGGTTTTAGCAATCAATCGCAGTAACAGGCATTTCTCTTCGTTATTAAAACACACACCGGTCTGTATAAATAATTCGCAAACAGTCAATTTAATTTGGTTATTATGGACAAATTTAACATTTCAATTTTGAGGAAACAAACAAGCAGCGTGGGATAATCATGTGTTGTATTCAATTTGTTAAAATAAACTCTTTATTGTTTTTCAGTTTCTTATTTTTTCAAAGCTTTCATACTCAATTTTATCGTACTAAATTGTGACAAAAATTGCACAAAAAAGGTAGACTGCGGAACGTTAGACTTTGTAATTCATTTTAAACGAATATTCCCTGTTTCAAGAAATTTGATTTATTTCAATACACTTGTCATACTTTCCCGCCAAAAATGTTGAAACAGAAATTTCAGTGAACGCAAAAATTTTCAAGTAAAGTACTCGTCAACTTGGAATAAAATTTAAATAATTCCTTCCTAATGAAACCTGCTGTCGCAATAAAATAAATTACAACTAACCTCTGCACTGTCAAATTTCTAATCGAAAAATGTCTAGTAGATTCAGCACCGGTATAATCAGACAAGTAGTTTCAATCTCTCGATCCACAGCACACGTATTCTCCAACAAACTACAAGATACTAATATACACCAGGCGATGCATCATACCGAACACATTACCACGAGCAACAGCTCCAAGCCCGAGCAGCAATAACCAACAATCTTTCATCTCACCACACCGTCCATAGAAAATAATTAAGAAAGGTGTAATACAAATTCGCGCGCGCCTTTTAAATCAGACACCGTAAATGTGCTCTAACAGTGGTTACACGGCTCGTATGAGATCGCAGTGGTACGGAATAGCAAGCGGACAAAGAAGCCTAGCCAGCCTGATTTATCATTCCCATTGAAACTTCTTAATGGCCGTATTAATAGGTCGCGAATCGCACAAAAGAGCAATTCGGTCTGTAAAACCTAGCGTCGCTACGTTCTCCGAGCAGATAAATCTTCCTTACTGTTATATACGTTGGCGCGCGTGCTGTCGCGATACACCCCCATAAAGCCAAAGCCAATCGTGAGATATTCCTCGTCGTGCACTTCTCGTCGCCTTTTGTAACTACCGACGCGTCTTGGAGCTTTCGCGGCGCGTTTCGTTGTTTCGTCGCGAGACGGGACGAAAAGGTAAAAGTAGCTGGCTGCGAGCTGATCGTCGGGCATCGTAAGGAGAGCTGCCGGTGTGCCGGAGCGGCGAGCATAAAAGAGACTTTCGCGTAAATAATGCACGAGGGCATGAAAAATTCGCGCAATGAGCGGCAGTCCAAGCTGCACCGGGAGCATAAGGAGATTCGCATTATCGTGCATGTTAGATGAGGGGAAGCGAGCGAGATGCCAGAGAGAGGCTGCTGGCGATATGAAATTTTGATCAGAAGTACACGGAACCTAGGCCCGGAATCGGAAGTTACCTAGCCCCGCGGGAACGTGCCACCGTGAAACATTGCGTGCGAATGGCCTCGCGGAAAGGTCAGCTGCGCTATTTGCGATCGAGCTTCCGATCTGATTTTTCTCTGTTTTCTTTTTTCGGTGGGTTTCTTTGTACCGGATGTTTGTTCTCCAGATGGAAATGAAAGTTTAACTTTGGAATTGGGAATTGAAGTGATAATACTTTTAAAGGGTTAATTGTTTGATTTTTCTGTGTGATGCGTGTAAGATCAATAAGTGAATTTTGACGATGATACTGATACTGAAAACGGTGCGAACATTGCCTTTTGTGTGGTTAGAATTTGAGGTTGGTTTAAAATTAACCGCACTGGCTCTTTATGTATACCAATTTTTACCGTAGCAGGTCAAATGACCGGTTCTGAAATACAGATCGTATTTTTGCGAAAGGAATACAGGTGATTGTCACCTTAATATAGGAAGCAACGCAGAAAATAGGCAGAAAAATTACATATCAAATTTTAAGTTAGCGTTAATATGGTTTTTGGTGTGTATTCGGTAGACATTGTGTAAAATGAAGGCAACATTCGATATAGCCAAAATCTAATTCCGTTGTAATGAAGAAATTTTGTCTGACAAAGACGTCTACGACTTTAAAGAAAAAAATCATTTATTCAAAAATGAAACGCTTCCCTCTCTCCCTCGTCGCGCAGAAGCTACCTTACAGAAACGAGAGCACAATAGAATATTCTATTAGGCACGGGCTCTCCCGCTCGAAACGACCGTAATGCCATCGTTTTCTCGGAAACATGTTCATCGCAAATTACACCGAACGACCGTGTTATTTTCAAGTTCGTAAAAAGAGAACCGGGTGCGGCGCCGAAAGCGTCGCGAGGGGAAAAAGCTCTTTCCGCGGAGAGACCCCGCGCGACATTTAACAGCGAAAATCAACGTCTGTCCGCGAAATACACACACACTCTCTCTCTCCTTCGAGACAGAAAGTGCACGTTGCGATACATCGCTACGTAACATCGACTTCTCTCTGTTTCAGACCGCTGCTGAAGCAGATAAAGAACTCGGCCGAGTCTCACATTGTACTGGATTGCTCCACCGAGAGGATTTACGACGTGCTGAAGCAGGCGCAGCAAATAGGGATGATGAGCGACTATCACAGTTACCTCATCACCTCTTTGGTGAGTCCTTTAATTAAATGGGAATGCAATTAATGCTGGACCTCGCGTCATCCTTTCGCGCCCTCCTTCCACCTTTCGAGCCGTGCCAGTTTCACCTACGACCCCTTCTGAAATTGGAACTGTCATGTCGGGGCTACGAGGGTGTACGAGCATAAACTAATTTTCTCCAGGCCGTCTCGCCGTTTATCGTCGTTCGATCTTTTGCGTGCTTTTCCACACGGGGCACGCCGTGTTCGTGATCGGAATCGATGAACCGACGACAGGATTGAAAGAGTCGGGGGGCGGAGGGGAATTATCGATAGGGACGCGGCGAGGAATCGATAACGGAATATGGAAGCTGGTCCATGAAGATTGTCTTCGATCGTTCGGCTCGGAATCGAGAAGAGGTGAACGATCCAGGTTACCCAGGTCTCTCTCTCTCTTTTAATGGAACTTTCAACTAGCTGCGTGTCAGCACTAGACGACGCTGGGTGCGACGAACGCGCGCCGCGTTCTGTTAAACCTGAATTACGCGGCTTGTACTTTCGCGGTTGCCAGGGGGGAAATCGAGGGAAATGAGAGAACAGCGACACCGAGCAACCAGGAAAATCGCTGTCCGTTTTTATCGACCGTGCTACGCGCCAATCCGTTCCTTTTTCACACCGTCCACGTGTTTTAACTAAGTTCGTAAGGATATCTGAGGGATTTCTGACGAGATAAAATTTTCGACGTGCAATTTTTTATTGCTCACACTGTCCGGTTAGAAAATACTCTTAGGTATATGCAGTTCTTTTACGTTATTTTCTTTTCTTTTTTTAAACAGAACGAACACTTAAGCACCTCTATCAGGATAATTACCATTACCGCAACAGTACTGATGTCTCGTTTCCTGTCTGTATGCATTCTAAAAAGGTCTCTCTCTCTCTCTAATTTCTCTAAAAACTAACTATCAGCAGCAGGGATCATTAGAGTAATCACAGACTTCTAGCTTCCACTTAACGGTACTCCC